GTTGTGGGGGGGAGGCGCCACCTGATGAAAACTGCGATGCTTGCCATAAGGGACGCCATCGAGGCACCCATCGGGACACCAATCGGGACACCAATCGGGGCACCGGCGGGACACCATCGGGACACCGTCGGGACACCTCCAAATTCGGTGATGGACACCCCCCCCTTTAGTAGAACGTGGTTTAGTGAAAACGACCTGAGGCCCAAACCTGGTGGGCGCAAGCCTGGAAAGTAACGGCCACGGCGCCCTCTCGAGAACCGAAAACGGACAATTCACTAATCGACGTGTCACTGCTGGGGGTTCTGTCCACCCCCGACAAATCACCATCGGGACACCAATCGGGACACGAATCGGGACACCACCAAGACACCATCGGGACACCGTCGGGATACCCCGGCCAAGGCCAGACAATCCAGGAGGGCGGTCTTTTTCGGCCCAGCAGCGCCCTGGCCAGAGGAGTTGTCCTTCTTCCCGCCCGGCCACGCGGCTTCGCCTCGCCCGCACGCACGACACGTACACGAAACTGAAACCGATGTGAGTATCGTTTAACCGATCCCCATCCCCAGCGGCGTGGCCTGGGCCCCACTGCCCGATTTACCCTCCTAGATGGGGATATAGGTCGTTCTCTTCGGGTTTCTAGGGGTGCATCCCCAACTGGGGTGGTAATTTGGTGGGGGTCTCGAAGGCGATGGAGATGGGGATGGGGATCGAATAAACGATACCGACGATGTCCTGGGAAAGGGAATCTCCACTTCAATTCGACCTCACCCCAGCACCTCCTAGATTTCACACACCGTGCTTGCACGCAGAAATTCTTGCGTTCTGAAATAGCTGGAGCCCCAGTGCCGGTCCGGGGCCGGCTCGTTGCCGCCCGTCGCCGCCGTGCAAGTGTGCCGCAGTGCTGGTCCAGCCAGCTCGATGCCGCCCGTCGCCGCAGTCCGTCGCAGCCACTTCAACTCGTCCATTCGCACTCGTCCACTATCACTCGTCCACTCGCACAGCATAGCAAAACTAATCATAGCTGCATTCCATTGCATCGCGTTGCATTGCTTTGCACTAATTTGCATCATTTTGCCTAGCATTGCATTGCTTTGCATTCCAATCATGTCTCAACATGTGTCTGCATTGCGTTGCATTGCTTTGCAATTCGTTGCATTGCATTGTATCGCATTGCATTGTTGTGTGTTGCAGCGCATTGCTTTGCGTTGCACTGTTTTCCAAGCTCTTCGCGTTGCTTCACCTTGCTGTGCACCACAAATATTGCACAACATGGCCAGGACCGCCTAGATTGCACCACATTGATTACGACCACTTAGATTGCACACCACGGATTACAAGAATTCACTGATTGGAGTCCGCGCTGAATAACATATCTACCTTTACGACACCCTTCGGGAGATAAGGAGGTTCAGGGTTGGGGGAGGAACCAACGTCTCACGCAATCGATCACACTATCGATCTCGTGATCGATCTCACTATCGGTCTCAACATGAACCTCACTATCGACTTACAATCGACCTCACTATCGAACTCACCATCGATCTCACTATCGATCAAGCCATCGATCTAGCTATCGGTATCAGTATCGGTCTTACTATCGATCTCACTATCGGTCTGCGTATCGGTCTCACTATCGATCCCACTGGCGATCGCACTACTGGACACCGACGGGACACTGACGAGACATCACTATCGATGTCACTATCGTTCTCAATATATATATATATATGAGAGAGTGAGAGAGAGAGAGAGAGAGAGAGAAAAAAAAAAAGCGTGATCCACCGCCGCTTTACTGTGGAAAATTGCCGCCCTTTTCCTCCGGAACCCGGGGTTCCCCCCCGCCATCCGAAAATCCCCCCCCCCCCTGCTGGCCCCCCCCCCCCCCTTCCCCCAGCAAAACCCCCCCCTCCCCTAACCCCCCCCCCCCCCCTCGAACTCGAAAACCGGGGGGGGTCACTACCGGTTCGAACCCCCCCCCCCCTCGAAAACCGGAGGGGGGGTCACTACCGGTTCGAACCACTGAGCTGTCCCACTGTTCCCACCACTGTCCCCACTGTCCCCACCACTGTCCCCACTGTACCTCTGTCCCATTGTCCCACCGCCGTCCTCGCCACCGCCTTCACCACTGTCCCCACCACCACTGTACCCTCCACTGTCCTACTGTTTCCACCACATTCCCACTGTCCCCACACCACTGTCCCCACCACCACCGTCCCCACCACTGTCCCACTGTCCCCACTGTTCCCACCATTGTCCTCACCACTGTCCCCACCACTACCGTCCCCACCACTGTCCCACTGTCCCCACCACTGTCCCGCTGTCCCCTCACCACTGTCCCCACCACCACCGTCCCCACCACTGTCCGCACCCCCCCTCGGTTTTCGAGGGGGGGGGGGGTTCGAACCGGTAGTGACCCCCCCCCCTTTTCCCTTTTCATGATGAACTGGGGGGGGGGGAGGGGTTCGAACCGGTAGTGACCCCCCCCGGTTTTCCGGAGGGGGGGGGCGGGGAGGGGTTCGAACCGGTAGTGACCCCCCTGGTTTTCCGCCAGCAGCAGTAGAACACGCTCTTTCCAATATATCGACTTAACTATCGATGTCACGATCGATCTCACATATCGAACTCACACTCAATCTCACTTTAGATCTCTCAACCGATCTCTGACAGAGCGTGTTCCACCGCTGCTGGCGGAAAACCAGGGGGGGTCACTACCAGTTCGAACCCCCCCCAATTCATCATGAAAGGGGGGGGTAACTACCGGTTCGAACCCCCCCCCCCTCGAAAACCAGTGGGGGTCACTACCGGTTCGAACTCCCCCCCACCCCCCCCTCGCTGCCGGCAAACGATTCCCGCTCCTCAGGACAGTTGGACAGTGGTGGGGATATTGGGACAGCGGGGACGGTGGTGGTGGGGACAGTGGTGTGGGGACAGCGGGACAGTGGTGCGGACAGTGGTGGGGACGGTGTTGGTGGGGACAGTGGTGAGGGGACAGCGGGACAGTGGTGGGGACAGTGGGACAGTGGTGGGGACGGTAGTGGTGGGGACAGTGGTGAAGGCGGTGGTGACGACGGTGGTGGGACAGTAGTACAATGGGGAGAGTGGTGGGGACAGTGGGGACAGTGGGACAGTGGTGGGGACAGTGGGACAGCACAGTGGGACAGCGGCGGGGACAGTGGGGACGGTGGGACAGTGGTGGGAACAGTGGGACAGTGGTGGGGACCTTGGGGAAAGTGGGGAGACTGGGATCGTGGTGGGACAGTGGGGACAGTGAGACACTGGTGGGGGCACTGGTGGGGACAGCGGGGACAATGGTGGGAACAGTGGGGACAGTGGTGGGGCCTGGGCACCGACGAAACACCCACGGCCACCGCCGGCCAACCAGGTGATAGGCGGTCTTCTGGCCCAGCGGCGCCGTAGCCAGAGAAAGGTTCATTCCTGTCGCCCGCCTGCGCAGCTTCCCCTCTTCCGCACGGCACGAACACGGAACCGAAACCGACTCCAAGGTGGGCGGCTCTCCGTTTCACTGCGATCTCACCCCTCACCCCCGACATGTACACATGCAAAACATGTACTGCACTAGTCCTCGTGCGGCAGCACCGCGGTCCTAGGCCCCGACACAACGGTCAGGCTGGTGCCAACGGTACTCTGCTTGGGCGTTGCGTAAAAGGGGGGTCACAAATGGGGGGGTGGCGAGGGTGGTCCGAAAAGGTACCCAAACGGTGCCTAAACGAGCCCCCTGGGGCTCCGGAGGGGCCCGAAAGGGGCACGAAAGGGGACCGTTTCTGACCCCCCTATTTGTGAACCCCCCATGAAGCCACGCCCAATCTGCCGCATTGAGCCAGAAGCCGGAACACGCGTACACAGCCGGATTCGCATCGGGAGCATGCGGAAGCCACTGGCTGGACGCACACGCGGAGAGCCGGCGCGCCCGGCCACACGAGGGCCGAGCGCTGGAAGAAAGAGCGGCCACGTGTGCATCCTGATGGGACTGTTTTCCACCACCACCACCATAAGTTGGAGGGGGAAGGAGGTGGAGGATGAGGAGGAGGAAGAAGAAGAGGAGGACCCCCACCCCCTGCTACTTCTTGTGGTGGTGGTGGTGGAAAACAAGCCCACCACAACTCTCGCCCAGCACGGCCACGCCACGTGGTTCCGACTTTCTGGCAGGAATGCCACGGGCCACGACACGTCCAGATCCATGCCCTCCCTCACGGCCTGGAGAACGGAGCGCGACCCCGTGGGCACGCGATCCGCTGGATGCGCACTTCGCAGGGCGCATCCGCGCAGAGCCGCCCCGTATCCGCGGGGGGCCGCGGTCCAGACCGCGAGGCCGTGGGCATGGATGTGCTCCCCGCCCTCGGAGATGCTAGGGCTCCCAACTTCGCGCTTCGCGCTCCGCGAAGCGCGAAGCGCGAATAACTTCGCGCCCTCGCGCCGCCCCCCCAAAGGGAGAAAAGGAGGACGAGGAGGAGGGGGGAGAAAGAACGAGGACCGCGAAGCGCGAAGCGCGAATAACTTCGCGCCCTCGTGGGAGCCCTCGGAGATGGCAGTGCCAGCTTTTCGCGAGGGGCGCGCACCCAGCGTGGTCGCAGCGCACCTCGGTCACAGCAGGCTGCCTGCAGCGCGTAGGGCAGGGAGGCGGGCGTCTCCCAGCAGCTGCTCCGACGTGGGCTTCTCTGTCGGCGACGCCATGCCGCACCAGGCCGCCCCTGGCGCACCACAGCACGGCAATTGGCGGCCTCGAGCGCCTTCAGCCACCCCACGAGGGCCCACGAGGGCCGCGGCACCGTGAGCCATGCCAGGCGCCGCGGGCGGGCTGCGCCGAGCCGCAGCGGGCTGGCGTCGCGGGCGGGCCGCCTGCCAAAGGGGAGGCGCCGCAGGCAAGCCGCGCTGAGGCGCACGGACGCCACTGCCCCCGTCGAGGGCGCAGGCCTGGGCGCCGAGGCGGCGCAATCCAGTTACAGGCCAGGCCAGGCCTTGGGCGCCACATGCCGCCACCCTCAGCGTCTTGGCGCCTCCTCGCCGCTCACGGGGTGGTCCGAGGACGTGGGAGCAAGCGCCGCTGCCTCCGCCGCGGCGCCGAGGAATGGCAGGTCCCAGACGGCCAGGCAACGGCGCGAGCGGCGACTCTCGAAGCGCAGGACCGTGATCCCGTCCCAGGGACCTTCCCAGCTCTCGACGTCGGGCGGGGCAGCGCCCTTGCCGACGGAGACGTGGAGCCGCCGCCGCGGCCCTCGCCCAGAGAGATGCGACAGGCCGTCCAGCAGCTCGCAGCGGAGCCCCTCCGCCGCCTCGGACAGCGCCACGGGCAGCGCGTGCGCCGCGGCCGCTGCCTGCCTGCCGCCGCGCCTCGCCTCCGCGCGCCCCGCCACGCGCAGCGCCGCGGTCAGCGGCGATGCGCGGGCGCAGGCGTCGCGCAGGCCGCCAAGGCAGGCCCGCTCCTGCCGTCCCGTGGAGAGCTGGAAGTCCAGCAGGCTTATGTGCGCGGGCCCCCTGGGCAGGACGGCCTCCGGGCCGCTGCCTGCCTCCTGCCGCCGGCGCGATGCTTCGAGGGCCGCTGCCGCGGGACAGTCGGGCGGCAGCACCACGCGCACCTCGTAGTGGCCGCCCTCGTCGGTCTGCGGGTCGTCGCACGACATGCACAGCGCGTGCTGCCCGCATCGCCCAGCCGACCACGGAACTCGTGGAGCGGTGGGCGCGCAAATTCCGTCTCGGCCAGCCTCGAGCCGCGACTTTCCGGGCAGCTCGTATACTCGTCGACGGCGGCGACGTGGGACACGAAGCGTCGGTCAGCAACAGCGGGACGCGACGGGACGAATTGCGCACAGAACGTGTAGGAAAAGAACGAGAGCGGCAGCAAAGGAGGGCGAAGGAGGCGCCGCGCTCTGAGCATGCAGCACGTCACGCAGACAGCTCGAAAACCAGGGAAACGTTATACATAACACCGATATTGTATGAACATCACCAGCCCTCTTGGTGTCGGCGGTTCAGGGCGCTCTCTGTTCCAAACTCCATGCTTGCCATTCGGGGAGACGTCCATCACTGCGCCTGGGCAGTGCACATCCCATCACCTAGGCTGGCTACCAACCTGAAATAATGCGGGGGCACACACATTCACACACGAGCCACCATCCCGGTCGTCAAATGAACCCGGCGCGACCCCACTTAGGGAAAAGCCTATTGCATAGGCGCATCGCTGGGCACATTGCGTGGCATTGCTTCGCATTGCTTGACATTCATTATCATTGCTTGGCATCGTTTGGCGCTGCTTGGCATTGCTTGGCATGCCGAGGAATCAGAGAAACCCGAAGAACCAAGGAACCCGAGAAACCTGGGGAGCCCGAGGAACCAGGGGAATCACAAGGGCCAAGGGAACGGGCGCAAAGTAGCCCCCCGAGGCACCGGGGGCGGGGAACCCAAGGAATCCGATGAACCCGGGGAATGTCTAGGGAACGGGCATTGTAGCACGCTGAGACACAATTCTTCGTAACCAAATAAGAACCCTCCAGGCAAGCCTGACTGGGGAAAACAAAGCGCACGTGGCGGAACATTCTGGATTATGAGCGGTCACGCGATCACTTTGCATTCGTTCCTAACCATCCTGTTGCGTTGGGCCCTCGCATTAGATAAGTAACGCCCCGCGTCCTCACTTCATTAATCCAACCCTTCCTCCTCCCTCCCCTCTTCGTCGTTATCGTCATCGTCATCATCCACATAGTAGCCTTGCTCATCCTCGTCGCGAGCTTCACCAGCATCATCATCCTAATCTGGGTCATCGGATTAACATCAGCATCATCATCACCAACAGCAGCAACAACAACACTCATATTCATGATGTTTACTCGTATCCGCTCGGGCGCAATTCAACACGTCGATCCCCCAAACCCCCGATACCCGCCCTCTTCGTCTTCGATCGTACCCCCACTATGGGTATATATTTCTGACCTTCAACTTGTATTTCACGTAGCCCCTAAGACAGGGGAAGAGAGGACGGATGGAAGGAAAAGGGCAAAGGGCAGGCGGGTTGCTGAAGCGTGCGTCCTGCATGGATCGCGAGGACATCTCCAGCGATAGCGCGGTGCCTACAACAAATCGTCAAACAATAGACAGCGAGAGCGTGATTCCTGAGTGTCGAGGGCACAGCGTCTAAATAAATTGCGAGGGCGTCCCACGCGAGAGCGCGATTCATGTATACATTGTGACAACATCCCCCGCGACAGCGCGATGTGGGAATAAACTGCGGGGGTCCAGGGCCTTGTATGGTGGCACCTCACGTTCCCATGCAGAAAATACAAGGGGCGAGCCCCGGAAAGAGCACTTTAGTTAAAAATATCAAACGGTGACCGCGCAAGGGAAATCAGTAATAGCGATTCTTTAGACATGAGAATCCAACAATCATTTGTTTCGCTCTTATTTGCTCGCGTGCCATTCAACACGTCTATCCCAGACCCTCGATACCACCCCGCGTCGCCCCTGATCGCAAACCCTGCGCCGCGCAAATTCGTGCTGCCCCTAAACAAGGGAAGAGAAGAAGGATGGAACACGGAATTGGCATGATGGGGGCTAGGAGCAGAAAACACGTGTCCGATCTAGACAGGACCATCCGGCGGGTATATTATAACTTCAACGGGCAGGCGCGCCCGAACGTAGGTCGAGAAGGCGTGTTGCTGAAGCGCGAGTGCTGCGTGAGTCGTGAGGAGCGCTCGAGCGATAGCGCGAATCCCGACTACATCGTGAGAGAAGCAGGAACGAGAGCGTGACTCCTGAGTGTCCAAGGCGCGGCGTCTGAATAAATTGCGAGGGCGTCCCACGCGAGAGTGCGACTCCTGCAGAACTTATGACAAAGTCCCCCGCCAAAGCGCGACTTTAAAATGAATCGTGGAGAAGCTTCAAGCGGGCACCGTGGGTGGTGGACCAAATCAGCCAGAATCGGCGCGCCGTGGTGCACGAGTACTCTCCGTGCCTGCTCCCGCACTCACAAAGCATAACGCATGCAGCTCAGCGCCCCGTGATTTCTCCAGCGCCCACGACACCCTCAAGAGTCTGCGTGCGCCCGTGCGGCGAGCCCCCACGAACTCGGGGGTCTTCTGACCCGGGTCAATCCAGACCCGGGTCAGCAGGAAACCAAAAACTGCAATGCAGGAAAAAAAAAACTGCAACGCAGGTCTTCGCAGACCCGGGTCAGCCAATAGGCGCGGCCGCCTCGCGGCCTCGAGCGGCTCCCTAACCCGGGTCAGCCAGAGGGGGCCTTCGCAGGATCCTGCAGGATCTGGCGCCCTGGCTGACCCCCGTTTGCATTGACCCCCGTCTCGAGGCTCCCACGAACTCATTGCGTGGACATGCCGGCGGCGACTGCACGAGAGCGACGCGCGGGAGCGCATGGGGCAGCCGCCCGGCGCAGGGGCCCGCGCCCCACGGCAGTGCTCTCCGCACTCCGCGCGCCGACGGTCGAAGGCTATAAGGAACCAAGACCGCGCGGCTAGCGCGCGCCGGCCCGGGGCGCGCGCGCCGCCGTCACTAAAGGGAAACTGGGAGACACAAATAAATACACACAATTAAAAAGATTCCCCATATTCTTCTATATTTTCTGGGTTTCTGTCTTCCCCCCCACTTCCCATATTTTCCCATACTTTCCTGGGGATCGCAGATTCATTGTGTCTCTGTGTGTTTTTTCCCCTCCTGAGTCACGCAGGACATGGCCTCAAGAAGCCTGCGAGCCCCGCGCTTGGCCCTAGCCGGCACGCGTGCGACGCGAGGCTAAGCGGCCCAGGCCGATCACCTCCAGGCAGGGCCTCAAGAAGCGTCCGTTTCGCTTCCTTCTAAACAACCTCTCCCTGCCGCACCCCAAGGCCAGTTTTTGGGGCGGGTCGGGCGTTTTGCCTGGGATTTGTTTAACCACCTGTGACTCTGACGCTCAAGAAAGTGACAATAGGTTCACAGATGGAGGGCGGGTCGTTTTCAAAATGTGGCTCTCGCTTTAGCGCCGCGCACATTCGATGTAAACAGGTGTAAGACCTTCACGGATTGAGGGCGGTCCCTTTTCGAAATGTGGATCTCGCTTTAGCGCCGCGCACATTCGATGTAATCATTTGTAAGACATTCACGGATTGAGGGCGGTTCCTCTTCAAAATGTGGTTCTCGCATTAGCGCCGCACACACTCGTTTTAAACAGTTGCGAGGGTTTCACAGGTTGGAAGGATTCTGGATTATGCGGGCGCACCAGTTATGTTGATTCGCGGTGTTGAAGTCCAAACAATTGCGTTCTGGCACGATTCCAGATCGTCAAGACGCAGCAGTCAGGTTGACCCGTGGCGTTGAGATCCCGCGAACAATGTGTTGGCATGCTTCAGGATCTTTAAACGGTTGTCTTCCAACGACGCAGGTCCCTTAATGGGAATAAACCGTTGCAGGGGCCTATGAAGTGGGAGTTTGGAGGGAGGGTTAATTGCAACATCGTTGATGACTCTTGTGTTTACACTGGTCCTCCTCCTACTCCTCATCCTCCTCCTCCTGCTGCCCCCCTTCCCTCCTCCCACCCGTCCTTCTGCCCTCCTCATGTCCATTTCGGCACACCCCTTGCACGTCGTGGCCCCATGGGGAGCTCTGCCTAAAGCCCCAATGGCAACGCAAGCATGGCACCACCGCACCCGTTTCGGCACACCCGTCACACGCTTCGTGTCCCCATAGGGAGCTCCGCCTAAGGCCCCTACCTGGTGCACCTGAACCCGTGGCGCACATGCGTGGCACTCCTAGGCGACATGCTGAGACTCGGGTGCTACCTACCCCCTGAGTCTGGACGGGGGTGGGCGCGACGCGTCAAAGGGTTCCTGTTGGCCAAAGATGCCTCCAAGATGACCTCAGACAGTCCAAGGCAGCTTTCTTTAGGTGGCACAGGATCGCTCAATAAGACCCAATATGAGTTCAATAATAGCGTTCAGGAAGCCCCATTACCCCTCAAGATGATTCCAAGTGGCCTCGGAACCTCCCAAAGATGCACCCGATATGCGAGACTGCTGAAAACAGCGCAGGGTTATTATCCGCCGACCCCCGCTTGCAGGGGGTCAGAAGGCGTGAAATGATTGGCCGTTCCCCTTCCCCTTTCCCCCCCCCAGGGTCCAAAATCTCGGTTAAGCTAAAGGGGGGGGGGTATATGGGCTCTTGGCGCACCCCTGGAGACTCTGGAGCTACGATGGCTCACAGCCGCCCCAAGATGCCTTCGAGGCGCTCCAAGAGCCCTCCGAAAGGCAACAATAAATGGTTCAGCTGTTTCATGGTGTTGGGGGTTATCGTCTCCTTGAGCTTCCGACGCTCCAAGACTGCCCAAGAGGTCCCGTAGACTGTCCCCAAACTGCCCAAGACGCTCTTACGAGGGTCCCATGACGGCCCAAGAGGGTCCCAAGGCGGCCCAAAGAGGGGCCCACGACGGCCAACGATCACCCCAAGGAGGCTCCACGAGAGGCCAAGAGGGAGAACACGAATCGAAGATCCGACCCTCTGCCCGAAGAGATCCCCAAAAGGCTCCAAGAAACCCCCAAGCTGCCCAAAAGAGGCCCCCAATAAGCCCCAAGAGGCCCAACAGAGGGCCCAAAACGGCACCCACGACGCTTCAAAACTGCCTACCAAGAGGCTCCAGCAGGCT